CTAAAGATTAACGAGTTTTATCTATTTTATTAGATATTTTTTTAATCAATTTTATTAAAATTATTTTTTCTTTTCGTTTCTGAGATTTCTCTGTTTTATACGAATAAATCTAATCAACTTCGGCAAATTAATTTCAGAACTTGAATTTAAAAAGTGCGAAACTGTACGATTGAAGAACAATTCCACTTTAAGGTGGCTTAAATTTGTTTCTTTTGATTCCAATCCTTTTTAATTTGCAATGAAATGGAACTTGATTAGGATAGTACAAAAGCCATTTATTTTTTTCCCCTCAACCCTTGTTCGAATCGATTGTTTCGAAGAGTGGTCACAGGTGTTGTTGCTAAACTTTTTTAATTGAAACAAATAAAGTTTGAGATGTTAAGAAGTTAAGAAAAATGCTTTTTTTTTTTTCAATTAGTCATAGATTCAAAACGTTTTCTTTCACCTTAAGAAATATATTATCAGTAAAAATATTTATCAAACAATCAAAAAATGTTAACCTTTAAAATATTCGTTTAGTATGAATTTTTGTTATTCTTAATTGAATAAAACCTTTATTTTATTTTTTTTAATCATCATATTCTTTTAATTGATTTAGGTAAATGTTTTTAGTGGAAATTTATAATAGAAAATTAATTAGTTATGATAAAAATAATTAACCCCATAAGATCAATTGTTTTTCCAAATTTGAGGAAAACTAAACAGGTGCATTAATTGCAGGTATATTAAATCGTTTTTCAATAAAAAAAAATATAAAATTTAACTTTTTGGTATGCTTAATATATTGGACTTCGACACCATAAACTACAGTATAATTGACTCCATTCTAAGGCACAACATTGTGTATAACAACATGTATTTCTCATAAAATAAATTTTGGAAATGTTTGGAAAAAATAGCGTTTTTCGGCAAAACATTTGAAAATTTTGAAAATATTTCTTAAAATAAAACAAAAAATCTTTACTATTAGTATCAATAGTATCAATAGACCCAGTGCCACTGTCCAATGTAGAAGACATTTAAAAATAAACAGTTTTTTCTCTCTAAAATAATAATAATAAATAAATAAGTAAATAAATACATTTTTTTTCTAATGCAGCTGTCAAACACTTAGACAACTGTCTTGGATGCCTTAAGGCGTTACGCTGCACAGCCGTTACTCACTTCGCATTACCCAGGGGACACGTGTAACTGGAAGATAAGCCACGGACGCGGAGTAACAATGCCCCCGCAACGCTCTACGATCCTATTAGACGGTTTAAAGTGGATTCCGAACCACTACAAACAGCCATGGCACCGCCGGGACTCGAACCTGAAACCTGTGATACCGAGCGCCAGAGCGCTAGCCACTCGGCCATTCAGGCCCTAGTAAATAAATACAAACGATAAAAAATAATTTTATTAATTAAACATTTAAACTTGTATAATAGCTATTTTTGTACCAAAAAAAGTAAGTAAAAATATAAAAAAAAACACCTCTGAATTAAAACTGTGGACACATTTTAAATTGTTGTTCCACTTCTTGACTATCATTTACAAATGTTTGTACAACAAAGATCCCTTCAAAAATAACGTTAAGTTCTGCTGCATAGATGGAAATGTGGGAAGGTATGGTCATATGGTCATATGGTCATATAAAAGACCATATGATTTTAAGTTCTAAAACAGTAGTTTCTTTTTCTGCACGCCAAAAAAAAAATGTCCAATAAAATAAAAATTGGGGGCCTAAAGAATTAATTTACTGTTTTAAATTTATTTTTAATGAACACAATAATTGATTTAAAACTGTAAATACAAAAATGATTACAGTAACAACTTCTTAAATTTTCTATTGCTAATCTGATTTCTCCAAATTGTAAATATTGCTTAATTTCTATAAAAATAATTGAAGAAAGATGTGTCTAGACGATTTTAAATGGTATATCATTAAAAAGGTAATTACGCATGATTAATTACTAATTTACTAATTTTATATTGTAAAAAAGGCATAGACTCATCTTTAAAATGTATATGTTTGAAAAATACAAACATTCTATATACAACACTTACTTTTTGAGAATCACTTTTGCCCATTAAGATAAATATGCAATTAAGAAAACGTTTTCGTATTAATATTATAGAAACAAAAAAAAATATATTAAATCCAAGGAATTAATTATGATAACGAAATGTTGTCTAATTAATTATTAGAATTACTTTGCTTTCTATATGTCTGTAATAAGCATATGTCTGAAAAAATGCATTAAATAGAAATACACTGTATAGATAGTTTGATTTATATTCCTTTTTTTCCAAATATAACCAATTTTCGGTGTGAAATATAATGGTAAATACAATAATTTGATGTTTTAATGGTTTTAATCGCTAACCATTATAGTGTTCTTAAAAAATTTATCTTTTTATGTAATATAATTTGAAATTATATTTAATACCAACTATTATAAAATAAATTTACTTTTGATTTACTATTTTAATTTTCATGGAATGCTTTGCATTTATGAAAATTAAAGTAGTAATTTAGTTTTAAAATAGTAATTTTATTTTCATGATAAATGTATTGCATTTATTAATTCAATATACTTATAAAATGGCTCAAAATTATACACTAGGGTATAGTAAAAATGCTTTATTTATTTAAATGAATATTTTAAGCTATATAATTAAACTTTAGCATATATTTTACTGGCATAATTGAATTTTATCAAAGCTAATTTATATAAATTCATTTAATCAAAATAGATTGCTTAAAACTTAGTCTTATAGTAACCAAATTAATACGAATATTTTCATAAAGACAATATAATCGGAAGACAGTCTTGAAATGTTTTTACATGTAAATTTCTTCAGTAGACTGTGAAGTAATTGTTGCAAAACATTTAATTAAACTTTCTAGACATTTAAAAATAAACATATATATAAATTTAAATAGTTATTTGATGAAGAATGTAAATGATGTACATAATGCCCATTTTTGTATGTTTATTTTTACCATCAGCACTTCATATGATAATGACTTTATACATACTCATAAGAGTTAACAGATAAATTTTTAATAAACGTGAATACCGCTGAACTTCATTAAAATTTTATTCAGTAAATAAGCATTTTATTCTATTAATGCATTCGGTTAGTAATTCACAGTCTCCTAAAGATTATTTTATGCTATTTACACATGAAAGATCAAAATAATATTGTAAATAAAGGTAAATGCAGTCATCTAGTATGTCTGTATAGTTGCCTTCGCGAAGTTTTAAAAGTTTTACAAAAGAACCTGAAGAATTTTGGCAAATAATTTCTTGGACTCATGATCATAGAATTAATTAAGATGTTAATATTAAAGCACCAAATAATTATTTAATGATAAATCTAATCTATTTCTGTTTATTGAACTAGAAATTCAAATGGATTTGTATTAGAATTACATTTAAAATCTAAATATATTTAAGCTATTTAACTTTTAAATAAACCCACTGGTTTAAGGCAGTGTGATTTCATGTTTTTTTCCAATATTTGTAGTTGTGAAGCCATAATTAAATGTTATACATACTTATTAAAATGCAACTGTAGATTTCCAAACAAATTATATTACAGGTCTTTTTATATTATAGACGATAAAAATTCAGCAAATATATTAGATAAAATAATTAAAAAGGACAATTAGAGATGTTATTATAAAAATAATTTTTATTCGAATAGTTTTAAATTATTTAGATTAATGTTTAATTAATATGTTTAGTGATTAAAATCTCGTGAATGTTTTGTGTTTAATGAAGTTTGGCATCAACAAATGTTCTTTATGTAAATTACACGGCCAAATCACACTAAATTAAATGAAATTGTAATTAAAAATAAGCATTAGTCTTTACAATACCTTTATATTGAAACTAATTCGTCACATTAAATATTCTGTTTGGGTGTGCTTAGTTCTTAAGGTATGGGCAATTAGGAATAAAATGAAGATAGCCGTAGTACATGAAGAATTCATTATAATTAAAGAAGTCAAGTATTATAAAGTATTTAAGGTTTTAGTTTTCTGTTCAAATACAGACTATGACAACTGGAGTAATACTTAAATTCTGCATTAATATTACCCACATTTCTATAAATGGGTATTCCTATTTCTATGAGTTGTACTGGATTATACAACTCCAATGCTCTCCATAAAAATATTTAAGACATACAAACTCACTTTAGTGTTTTTTTTATAGTCACCTTATGATCACTACTTTGGTAATAATTTCTATATGTATAAAAATATTTAATACATTAGTGAAAAGCAATTCCAATGAATTTTAAACTAATAAACTTTGACGAATTTAGTAAAAACGAAAATTGATTTGTTTTGATTGATTGTTTCTTATGCTTTTCAACCCTTATAATATTAATATGCATCTTTCTTTTTTTTTTCAAGTGTGATTGAAACATATCGAAATAATGTTTCTCGATACAAAAAAAAAAAAAGATTTTAAGTTGGACCTTTTGTTTTATGAAACTGAGTGGATAAATTTTAATGTCTCTCTAGCTGATAACATTCAGTTCTTACTCTTTCAAATGACAATTCTTTTTTTTTTTTTCGACGTCATTGAGGGAAAATATATAAGGAGTAGTATTATCAAAAGATGTCTGAGCTGTCTTGAGTCAGAAACTCCCTTACTCAAATACAAAAAGATGAAATTTTCTCAAACTCGCTAATAAATTTGTTGTTGTTGTTTCTTATTCCACTTGGCTGGCCAAGCCCACGAGTCCATACGTACTCATGATTGAAGGGGAAGGAAGCAACTTCTGTTGTAATGGAGCACCCGTAGGTAAAAGTCTGACTTTGGCTCCGTGACGCTCTTACAGTCATGGGAGACCGGGACCTATGGCTTAAAGTGGATTCCGAACCACTACAAACATCCATGGCACCGCCGGGATCCTGAAGCCTGTGGCACCGAGCGCCAGAGAGCTAGACACTCGGCCATCCAGGTCCCAAATTTGTGAATGTCAATGGCACGTAGTGTTCCCACCCGAGTGCTGACCGCGCCCAATGATGCTTGACTTCGGTGATCTTAACGAGAACCGGTATATTCAGCATGGTAGGCATTTCACTAATACATAGTAGGTGGAATATTAATAAAATGCAAATTGCTGTAATCTGTTGACAAATATGTGGTGTCCACAATGAGATTTCATTGATATCACTTTGGTTAAAATGACGACCACCTGAATAACGTTCACCAATTGTTGTTGGTTCAGAGAATTTAAATTGCATAGATTCAATTAACTTAAAATTAATATAAGCATAACCTAGTCCTGGGTGCGCAGAAGATCTACCTCCCCGTGGTGCATCTGGTAACACTTTTTAGTGGCCAAAAGATCTGCAACTTGGCATTATTGTTAGATTAATGAACTCTGTTTCAACATGTTTTGTTGTATTATTTTGTTGTTGTTGTATGTCGTATGTTTTTTTTTTTCGTTGTTCTTTTTTTGCTGTAACTGTTCATAATCTGCCATTGGAAATTAAAAAAAATTAAAAAAATAACCTAATCCTCCTGAGAGTACAGTAAAATCTTAATAAAATGCCTCATAGTTAAGTATTTTTTTTTAAATTCATGTCTTTCAAATCATAAAGTTAAAATATGTAGATATGCACGTGCCTCGTGATAATTTATGAAAAATTATTATTTATTTATTTATTTTTGCTCTATAATTTTGTTATAAGGTTTTAAAAATTAATAACTAAAAAGTTAAACTGCGAATAACATTTAATTCCCTAGATTACTTTTATAACAAATGTGTTTATAATTGAAAAAAACTTTAAATGCTATGCGTTTTATTTAATAATAAACAAATAGTATATATTTTTACAATAACAAGAGTAAGAAATAGTTTTTTTAAATGATATTATTTAAGGGTATAACACAATGGCTTTAAGCAGGTTAGTTTTAGAGTAAATTTAAAGAATTTTAGTTAACATTTTTAATGACTAAAATAAAAGAAAATTTTAGCATTTTGCTTATTCGTGTGTTACGTATTCTACAAACATTCAACTCTTACTAGTATTAACAGAAGAAGAAATGTCATTGGTTAAGAAGACGATCTTCTGTCAGATCCTTGTTCCTGAATGGATCACTGGAAGGTCTTCTGGCATCACACAAGTTAGAGCTCTGCAAAGTTATAACGTTAAATAAATACATTATTATACGAAATATTATGTACGTGTTCAAGTTAATATTATTAAAAAAATAGTTTTACAGCCTTCTTAAAATTCAATAGATGAATATATAGAAAGTATTAAATATTCACAAAATTTACAAAACTGTTTCAAAAATTTAAAGCTTTCCAGTCAATAATTTAAGAATAAATAATGATTGTGGGATATATAATGCATAAAAATCAAGAGAAAAATTCATTTCTAATTTTTAATTTAACTAAGTAGTGTTTCATAATAAATTACTTTTTAATTTTTCTCTTCTACATACAATTGAACTTTTAACAAACAATAGATACAAATAGGTAATCATTAAATCCAAATAAAATCTAAAGATGTTCATTAATATATGAGGATTTAATTTTATCTAATTATAAATAATTATAAATAGCAAATTATTGTAACTTGTTTTAAAATATTTAAGTTCAATGCTCTTTTACATATTTAGTTTTTATAACTTTGAAAACGCATTTGTTATGAAAAAATATATATACACAGTAAACGTTTTCTGACTTTATTTTTCTGACTATACAGTATTAAAATTGATAAAACGAAATTTATCGGTTTGAATTTATTCAATAGACATAAACATGTGCTATTATTAGAGCAAGTTTATTTTTTATGTCTGTGCAAATTATGTCTCATTCATAGCAGCTGAAGAGCCATTGAAAGAATCAATGAAAAGGTTCTCGTGACGCACGCACGCCATAAATAAAGCTCGCATAAAAGCTAAAGGGCATATTATGGACATTTATGTATAGTTTTGAAACGGATCAATAGCTTCTTACCAAAATGAATTATGGTGAAAACCATAAAAAAGAGAAATCAATAAGTACTTATGTCGAATGTTTAAAATAAAGAATTTTTGTTTAATAAGAGACAAATAAAGTTTTTGGACATTATGTATAGTAAAATGTTTACATTTGTACAGTAAAAAATAATTATATTTGACAAGATTTCACATATAAAAAGATGATTTGTTCTGTAAATTACAGTTTCATAATTATTCTAATTATCGTAACACGTAATTAGAATAATTATGAAACTAACACGTAATTATCGTAACACATAATTATTACACGTAATAACGCTTAATTATCGTAACACGTAAATCATTTAAAAGTAGACTTTTAAATGATTTCCGTGTTGATTTTACAATGATGACATGCATTTCTTGTCATGATGTACTTTTGAAGACACTAATATGAAAACATAAGTGCAAATTGAGAAAGAAATTCTTGCATGGAGGATTAAACTTTTACTAAAAATTCCACTGGAATATACCTATGTTATATGTATTCTGCAATGAAAGATCAGTGTTCTGATACAATTAGTTGTATCTTTGGGAAATTCTAAATTTCAGTACAACTACAGTTTGTTTCAGTAAAGATTCTGCTATGAACCATCTGTATTCCAAATTTATTATATCATGAAGTCTCTGTGAGTGAATAATCTTTAGCAAAAGATACAATTTCTATTTAATAAATTACTTGGATCGCTTTTTGATCTGTAACCATTGAATTCGAGCTTTGAATATTTCACAGGGACTGACCACTGACATAGGCTTGAAATTTAAATATTCCCTTTCACTGATTATCTGTTAAGTTGATTGATCATCTCAAATTAACTATTTAACATTGTTAGTGTCTATTTAACGATATGAAAAGAGATTACAGTTTCCGCTTTAATACAGACTATTATTTGAATGTTATTCTACAACGAATAAGGTCAGAACTACTGTACAAATAAACTACATAACAATACTTTCAACACAGAAGTACAGATTATGACCGGATATGGGTGTATTCGCCATTGACGACATAACGGCGTTAGCTAAACTTTCCTGAAAGTAGAATTTTTGGTTTCCGAAAAATGGTGAACATAAGGTGAATATGATTATTGAAATGTTAGAATTGAGATGAAACATGGACACAAACATATAATTTATTTTCGACAACACAAATCTGGCTGATAACTAACAAAGTAATCACTGCAATTCGAAGTCTAAACTAAAACTAACAACGACATGACTAACTAACTTGTAATTTTTTAAAACTATCGAACTCTCTACGGTTGTCACACATATCAAGTAAAATCTATTTAAACATTTTTATTTTTCAATCTCCATGTTGTCCTCTAAATTTTTCTTGTGCGAAATTATGGTGGATCTAGTTTTTATTTGTTCTAATGCAGCTGGCAAACACTTAGACAGTTGTCTTAGATGCCTTAGGGCAAGGGCTGCACCTACGTTACTCACTTAGCACTACCCAGGAGGTGCGTGTAGCTTGAAGATAAGCTACGGACGCGGAATAACATTACCCACGCAACGCTCTACGACAGTTACAGACGTTTTTTGACTACGCTTAAGAAACACATATAACCACAATACACAAATAATCTTTAGCACAACATACGAATAAATACACATATATACTCCAGCACAACAGACATACAGTTGCAAACGTTTCTCGACAGTACACAAGAAACATACGTAACTAAAAGACACAAATAAATACATTGACAGCACAACACACATACAATTACAGGCGTTTTTTGACAACACATAAAAAACAGACATAACCATAATACACAGATAATCTTTAGTCCAACACTAATACAGTTGTAGATGTTTATCGACAACACGTAATAAAAAGGTACATCTGGTACAATACAAAGGCACAATAAAAATTTAGTGAAACACACAAACATTACGCAAATATACATGGATGCCTTGATATAGGAGTGACCAACACAAATGATCTTTGTGGGCCACTTTGGAAATGTATCCTAACTCCACGGGCCGCATATAAAATTATATATCCCCATATTAGATTTAAACCCACAATAAAGTTTTTTGAAGTGAAAAATTGAAACACAATGAGCTACTATTTTTTTGTTCACTATTATTCTTACATGTAAACATAGATAATAAAAATGATACTAAGCGCACATTGTAAAGAAATAGATAACACTCAAAATGAAATATAAAAAAATATATAAATATAAACGAAATAAAAAAAAAGGAAATCATTAAAAAATATTTATTTTACTAGTGCGATATTTATTTCTCCACTCTTTCACTTAACTCTTGCAAGTCGATCTCAATTTGGGAGTTTGCACATCGTAATTGATGATGCAGGTTAGAGTCTGTTATGTTTGATCGTGTTTTATGTTTTGGCAATTTCATTTTTGAAAGAAAAAAAAAAGATTCGCAGGTGTAAGCCAAAAGCGCTAACAATTTTAACTGAGAGTCTGGTTTGCTCTGCTATCAACAATCAACTGTGCGTATCGAAGGATGGTCACTGCATCACTTATATTCAGCGAACTCGTAACTGTAACCTCAACAAATAAATAAAACAGGCAATATCTGTGTTATAATCGCAAGAATATTATTTTTTAATGAAAGTTAATTTTTACTCATAATTTCGAATTTCGACTCATAAGTTACGTTATATGTGCATCCATATATTCAAAAATTATTTTTTAATACATTGGTTTTCTCTACTTCGACCATTTTGAAATAAATATATTTTGTATAAGTGTGATAAATCTCACGGGCCTGAAAAATATTCAAGGCGGGCCGCGGGTTGGCAACCCCTGCCTTAGTAGAACGATAATGCTAACACATAGAAATACTAATGCCTGTGGAGACTACACTGCTATATATAATCTAGTCCCATACCGGAATCAAATCAAAGTCTTATTGCATTAAAACAGGCTCTCAAAACGGAATTTCACGGAGCAAATTTCCCTGTCGCAATAAGTGCTGCCTAAATGTCAATGATCCCATGAAAACGTGCTTCGCCAATCACCAACCGATGCAGAAATAGTGGATGAAATTTATGAGTAAGTCAGCGACCATGCGTTGTAATGGTGCAACAGATGCAA